ACAGACGGCTCCCAGAGAAGATAAAGAGTAGATATGATCAACTGTTGCGTGTTATTCCAGTATTGAAAAGGTATCGCCTTAACTGCAGGAGCAAAGTAGCTGTCCACAAGCATAGCATACAAACAATATACTATAGGCTATATAGGCCTCCATGGCCATCCTTTAAACACGGCTAAACCAAGAGTAGGACTTTTATGTAAGACCAACGCTTGCTGAATTTCGCTTTCCCCTCCTCTGAAATCAACAATGTGAATACATAGGTACATTGCATTATGGACCCAGAGACGCGGTAGAGCACAAGTTATGTAAAATGTAGCCATTTCTACTCCTGGACGTCGTAATTTTTACTAGAGTAACCGCACCCAGGGCGATTAGCAGTATGATTGTATTTTACACCACCATCGACACAAATTAGACCAAACTGGAGGCGGGATCCTTCCACCCTGCATGGCATGGCCGGTTGGAGAATCTTGATAAACATCTCCCCACAGGAGTATCAGAAGAATCAGGCACATCTTCTACGAGAAAAAGCCTTATACTTATACCACAGGCGCAGGTTAGAATATTTCCAAATGTAAACGCTGTAGAACTAAAATTATGACGTATTTAAATTAAAAACTGTACCGCTGGACACGGTTTCACTTTTTCATGGATTGGTGAAAACAGAACAATACCATTTTAAATGGTGAAAACTGCAAATCGTAAACATGGTATTTCATCTAATAAAAAGAAAGTGCGACTGTTCTCAAGCAGAAACTTCCCATTATAATCCCCAGAAATATCTGAAGAGGTTTTTTTGCTGAGGAGAAAAGTCTTCACTACACTTATTTTAAGGATTAAAAATTAATAAGGACAACACAGTGATAGGCAACTGAAAAAGAAAGAAAAAAAATTCGAGAAAATCAAACTTTATTGTGTAGACACCAGTGTGTATAAGTATAAGGTCCCAAGCTAAATTTATGCTATTACAAAGCACAGATCACAGTTACTGATAAAAGCATAGTATAAAGACTGGAATATTATATGAGCAGCATGATAGTGATACATATTATAAAAGTAATACATGTATATCTCAAATAAAGCTGTAAAAAATTAACACAAAAGACAAAATATTTTCAGTTCATAAAAAATAAAGAATATGTCTGTATTAACTAAATAAGTGATCGTAATGTGTATACATCTTCAATGAAAGACCAGTCAATATTATTGCAAAGATTATGATTTAAACACAGGCAAACAAAATGGAAAGTTACCCCTTGTCAGTAAAAGCACTTCAGAAATGTTTTTGTTAAAGTACACGACAAGAACTTTACTTCAATGACACGAAAGAGGTTGTGTTGACATTAACAAAAGGCTTGTACTACACTTGTACACAGAAAACAGAGGTTAGTGTGATAGAATGCATTAAAAAGAAATAGTCTAGCATGCACAAAACGAAATCGACAGGAGAACGAAATCTTTTTCTTTTATATGTGAATTTCCCTATACATGATGTTTTAAGTACTAAACGGGTACAAAGAATACACGCATTTAAGTAAAATAAAAAAATCTGGGACCAGAAAATCTGTTTGCTACGTGCATGCTTCGCTATGTGCATGTTGGAACCTGAAAATCTGTTCGCTACGTGCATATTTCGCTATGTGCATGTATTTTGGAACCTGAAAATCTGTTTGCTACGTGCATGTTTCTGTGCGCTAGACAGCATATTGCCATCTGAGGATAAATTACAATGTTTTTCTGTCTAGGTATAAAAAAATCTCATCAGTATGTCTCATCAGAAAACAAATTTGCTATAGAAGAGGAGTGCCTAAGGCAGATTATCTGAACCTGAGCCGTACCATCTTTCAATAAACCATTATAATATATTCTCAAAACAACAATCCTCATAAATGTTCACCAGCAACAATTTTGGACAAACAGAACAACAACTGACCATGAGGTTTAGTAGTGTTTTACGGAGCTCGCAATTGCGTAAGGTCACCCCCCCACCAGGACAGTGCTACTGACTGAAGTTGTCTTTAGGCCATTCCAAACGGGGGGATATTGACATGTTCTTTTGCACAGTAGAATTGTAAACGGGCTGATTTATCAATGTCAAGCTCATACTGTGCCGGAACAACATAGGGGGAAAGGCTGCTTTTCCTTTCCTCATCCTTACTATCGTCATTTTTCCCTCTACTTCTTCTATATGTTTGTCACTCTCTTGTGAACTGCTATTTCCGGGGTAGGCCTACCTTGATAGTCGAAGCAGACTTTGTGCTGTTGAAGTTAGAGAGGTGAGCAGAGTAAGCCTGATTCCCCTTTGGACTTCTCTGTTGACATCCTTCCCTTGGCGCTCATATGACCTAATGCATTTGCGAACGCTGTAAAACCTTACAAAAACTAAAAACTAAACAGGGTATATTTTGACATAAACTAAAACAGATCAGGACAATAAATTTCCTGTCACACTTAAAAGAGGTAGTAAGAACAGACCACACCAGAGCAGCTGCAAATCATCCACAAACAAAGCAGAGAAGGCTTAAAGAATCCATTGGAAGAACAAGCGGTTAAAGCAAATAAAACATTAATCTATTTCAAGACAGGCTTTGACCTTTCAGAATATCTCCACTTGTATGACCTTTTTGGCAGTTCCTTTACAGGAATTATATTTTGTCCCCCCCCCCCATCATCAATGAAATTTAGATCCTTTTGGAAAAGGGGCCTGTCACGGCAAATCTGGGCTGAGAGGGATACATCCCAGCAGAAAGACCAAGATACTTGATAAAAATTTTCTCCCCATTCAGGAATCTAACTTGGGTCTCCGGCATGTGACACGCAGTGCCTAACTGCTCCACTACAAATGCCATTCATAGTCTGCTGTAAAAATATCAATTTTAATCAATCTTAAAGTGACAACTTTGACCCAGACAAGATGTTGTAAATGTAAGTGTACTAGCTGTTCCTCTGGAGTTTTCAATTGTTTTTAAAAATTACTGTATCAGTAAACACTTAATTTAGGATAAATATTGAATATAAGTTTACTCTTAATAACATGGCAACTAAATAACTAGTTAGGAGTAACACCCATGAGATCATCTCATCATCATGACAGCTTATAAGTTTACACATTTTTCCATGGCAAGATCTTAAGTACATTTTAGATTATATAAGCATATCTTGCACAATATCCGATTAACGCAATCATAATTAACATACAAACTAAACAGAATACATTCAGAGACCTTGGTTATTTTAAGCAAAACGAGCCTTCTACAAATAAAATAGTTGTAATAGCTTGACCATTGGATGTATTCCAAGAATATACTCAGGATAAATTACAATGTAAAACAATAAGTATGTTATAATGAATATAGTGGGATTTGCTTCAGCATTAGGGGTTCTTAAAATCATAACGGGATAAGCTCAAGAATGGAGTCACTTTTATTAGAACAGAGGGAGAATAGAAAAATTTGTTCTTTTCCATGCTATGCAAGTAGCGGGTCTCATACATTTCAAAGTAGGCATTGTTTTCAGAGGAATGCTCATAAATAAATCAAAGGGACATAATATTTTGTAAGAGAAATTGATACTATTACTACTATTAGCATTGTGTATTGTGATCAATTACAACATAAATTTTCAGTAACAAAGAAATACAAATCATCCTATAATCAACAAGAACTAAACAATGCCACCGTACACATTGTTTCCAGTAAACAATAACAAGAGTGTCTGGGTAAAAAACATAAACGAAAAGTTTTTGGAATTAATAGCAAAAGACATACATGTAAATATTCTGTTACACTCATCCATGCTTCCCTTAAATCTAAATACATAGAAAAGCTTTTAAACATCGGATTAAATAATGACAATATCACAGCTTATGCAGGTTCAGTGCATCAAAAACTAAAATGTCCATGGACATACAGTGGAGTCTACTTAAACCAAACATGATTAATCTAAAACAAACAACAACAGTACACCAAAACAAAATACCTCAACCCCCCCCCCCCCCCCCCCTTAATTTTTCTTCTTTGTCTATGCAAGAAAACCATCACTTAACTGAAATGTTAAAGCTCTTTTACCGCCACGGACATTGCATTGGCTTCCTGTTGAGAAAAGAACTGTGTACAAATTGGCCACCATACGTCACAAAATGCTTCAATGATAAAGCGCCATCATATTTATCAAATCTGTTGAGATTGTACATACCAACTCGCCGTTTAAGGTCATCAGCAGACAAAAAGAAATTTCTTTTACCACAAACTTAAAACAATGGGTGAAAGGGCATTTGAATATCAAGGCCCCAAGATCTGGAATGCTTTGCCAAATACTTTAAGGGAGATCAAATCTTTTGATTCATCCAAATGTCAGCTGAAGTAATTTCTGTTCTTAAATTAATAAGATGAATATTTGGAGAGATTTGCTTTTAGAACACAAAGTTTTATGTTACTGTGGTACATTGTATTGTATTGTAAAGCGCTCAGAGCCTGAGTGTTTTAATTGGGGTTGAGCGATATATAAATGTCATTCGTTATTATTATTATTTCTGAACTGAAAAGAATTTCCACGTTAATTTGTCTAAATCTTCACTAGCAACCCACAAGTAGCCTATTGCAGATTATAAAGTCTCACCCACTTTAAGACAGAGAAACAAAAAAAAGAGACACAGAAACTTGGGCCAGTGAGAGGCATCGTAAGTTACTGTTTGCATACGTTTATCACACACACATCTATAGGGCTACACACCGTGTACAGGCCTAGTGACGCAAGGATAGCAACATGGCACATGGTGTGTCTCGTGACATCACTGGCATTCGGCTTTCTTTTTCACTTTTATTCTATCTTCTCTTTCATCTTTTCTGTGTGCCTGTTCAGCAGATTTAAGTTTAAGCAAGCTGACAATATCACAGAGAAAGCGCTCCCTGCAGCACAAATTGCAGTTACTGAAGTAGTTAGACTAGAAAAAAACTTTCAAAACTGTAAGCATGGCATTGCCAACTATATGCCGTTGACAATCACCTCTATTTGAGCAACCCTCTCAACACTAGAAATCTGACTAAACTGAAGCAAATCTGTCGGTCCCACAGATTTCAGTTTAAGCGGACTCCTCTGTAATTAAATTCCACTGAGAAAAATACTTCAAAAGTTTGACAAACGCTCCCGAGGGTAAAAGATATGTCTTATGATTTTTTGTTTGTGATCCCCACTTTCTTTGAGTGTGTAATCTTTACCAAAGCCACATTGAATGAAAAGACTGGTTTCACTTCTGATCAATCAGAGAATCACCAAAAAGTGTCAAAATAACGCATTAATTACATAACTTAAAAATTGGAATAGACAAAGCAAAATCATCTATCAGGACGTAGACTCTAAAAACAGAAAAGAGAAAAACAAGAAGCTATTCGAAATAAGAGTCTGATAAGATAGTCTTGCTATCGAACGAATTATGATAGGATACCAAAGCTGGCAGTGTAAAAAGGTAGGAATGTACTTATACAAGTATGCAAGCTAACCTGCCATTAAAAACGTAGAAGTGTCTGTGTCATGACACAAAAAACCCATAACTTTATATTATAAACTGACAGGGTATATCTGTATATTTGATACGACAGATCAAAGCTTCTTTTACTTCTATAGTAAACTGGTAACAATGACGCTTTGATAATAACAATAATAGGCTTCGATAAATGGAAAATAAACAATCATTAACCAAGTTACAAAAAGTAAGGTTGAGACATTAAGTTGAAGTCTACATTCTATGACAATGTCAAGACCACATAAGATAACTGAGGGCTGAATACCAAGGCCCATGCCATACTGTACAACTATAAAGACTTCATTATAACATATAAAATTCTCAAGAAAAAACCAACAAAACCTGATAAAGAAATGCAACAAGTCATACATAGTACAGATATGATCAGAAGTAGCCGCATAAAAGATAACAAGCTAAACCTCCTGTGCAGGCAATAAGACCCTATATATTTGATCGTGCTCTGAGCAAAGCAGGAAGTCCTGCACTGAGATTTGATTTTTGATGGCACTTCGTTCCTTGGCATACATGAAAAAATGTTTACCCTTTTATCTGTTAGATATCATATTGATTGACAGGCTAAACTGCAAGGAATAAAAATATGAACTGAAGCCAGATTTTTCCTTGTCCTTCCAAGAAAATTTCCTCTCAGCTCCACGTCATGGATGGCAGACTGTGTGGTCTGACTTGAAAAAGAACACCTCCTTGCCAATAGAGGGGTGTACTCAAAAAACAACAAATACAAACAAAACCCGTGTACATAGTTTCCCTCCTCTCTCACTATCCATGGCAGGCCAAATTGCCCATGTTATCACAGTCACATGTTTAGAAGCGAAAAAGTACATGTAAAAGTTTTATAATGGCAAAGCAAACAACAGTAAGTTTGTGAAATAATTATTGAAGATATGACAATTTCCACTTTACACGTCAGATTTTGAAATAAAAAAATCAAATTGTGCATCATAAAAATCACTGACATTAAAATCCTCAAAAATAGCACACTTTTTCTTTCTCAAGGTACATTATTTACACAGCTGATAATACATCAAGACTATTCCTTTGAAACAACTTACAGGGGCTACATGAGACTCTAGTAAGCAGACGCACAGATCAGCCACATGTAAGTAGAAGTGGTCATTACAACTTTTGCTATTATATAAACTTTTGTAAAATTAGGCAAAAAATTCAGCAAGTATAAAAATTACGAGAATCAGCAGTCTGTAAGTTTTAATGGCACAAATAAAGATTAGTTCTGTTACATATGTTAATTAAAAACATAAATATGCATTGTGTGTCTTACTTCTGACAAAATTTTCAAAACACAGAATATAGGCTACACATGTCCTCTATCCCTTACTAGGAATGGGTAAAGATTATTAGAAAACAAGTTCCATAATTTTGAGAAGGCACACAATTAAGGCATGGGCAAAGATTATGTGCTTGGAATTATATCTGTGCAAAGATGGACATAGATCTAATTAAAAAACAGATAAATAAAATATAGGTCTGAAAGTGTTTTTGTACCATTGTATGAAAGATTGTTCGCAACAACGTTTCAACAGATGTGATTTAACAGTTCTTAACCATATTTAATAAGACTGTCAAGTTCTCTGAACAAAGAGCATCAATGAAAACAAAATAATATCGTTGTGTCTTATGACAATGCCCAAAATAAAAACAACTGAAAATGAAAAGGACCCTTCAATAGAGCTTACACAAACTAGATATAGACTATGATTTCCAGAAACTAAATACAGGCTGTAAATTTCCATAAAAAGTATCACATATCACAAATGGAAAGATCAACACTATTCTATAAATCACACCTTTTTCAGATTATAATTGTTACAGTCCTTTACTGTGCTTGCCTCTATTGATGAGGATAGAACATGGCTCATGCAGGCAAGAGTTCCTATCTTTCTGTTCAGCTTGAGCAATACAGATTATGAACGCAAGACTCCTATGAGGGTCTTAGTGTCTATCACACATGTTTATATCTGTAAACTGTCCGTGTTATATAGTCACATTTGTAAACTGTCTGTGTTATAGTAGACTGTCTTACCACTTGACCATGTTGTCACACTCTTTTCTTCAGACCGTCTAATTTGCTGTTGGGACTCTTCGTTTCACTTTCCCTACCTCTTGTTTAGTAGACACGCTTGTCCAAGCTCTACAAGGGTATTCATTTTCATCCCATGTACGGCATATCTGGTTTTGAGATCACATGGCAAACACCTTTATAGATTGGTAGCAACCAGTCACCTGGAAAGAAAAAAAAGGAGATATAGAATCTCATATCAAGTAATTTCACCATTATTCTGTGAACATAATGTACAACCTTAAAACACACTGAAGCTCTTGCAGACACACAGACACACATACACATACATACATACACAATCACATACGCACGCACATTTGCCAACACATTTGCACACACAAATGATACACTCATTTACAAACTTTTAAAAAAATAATTCTTTTTTAAAAATCAACTGACATACATTCCATATATGGAAGTTGGTAAATTTGCATCTTTGTACTTAAGTATGATACATTTAATGTTCACTCAAAACTCCTCTGACACCTCTGTCAATCATGTTTGTAAAAAGAAAGGATATATTATCAGCAGCATTTTGGAGCAAGAAAATGTTTAATTTTTTTTTTTTAAGAGAGAGGGAGCGAGAGAGGGAATGAGAGAGAGAGAGAGAGAGAGAGAGAGAGAGAGAGAGAGAGAGAGAGAGAGAGAGTTTATCAGCAGTAATTTTCTGGCTGACCCTACTCTTTGAGTCACACGACAACCCTTGGGTCGCGGCAGGAACCCTTGAGTCAGGTCTGTTATCTCTCCTTCCTTGCCGGAAGTAGCACTTCAAGAGCACACAACCAAAGCGTTTAAGGCCTGTGCCAAATCAAAGACTTTTCCAGCATAGGTAGTTTTTTGCCTTTGTGTTAAAAATTATTATTATTGTTTTTATTTTTTTTAAAGTTTCTAACTCAATAAGCTATTTACTTGTTTGGGGGAAATACGCAAGCAAACTGGAAATGAATAAAATAAGTTCTCTTTGAGTGCAAATTAACTACATCATTTTAGCCAGAGACTAAAGAAAATAGGAAGAGAACGATTAGAAGACTAAGACAACACGTAATGTAAGTAATTTAACAGGACCCATTGGTGGTTACTTATACGTTGTTGTTTTTCTAATCGTTGGGGGTAATGTTTAGGTTTTTTTGTT